AGGAACATGGGCATGGCGAGGTCGAAATGGGGGCGGGGAGGGTTGCACCAGCCGCCATTGTCGCTGGGAAGGGCGTAGTTAGGAGGGCAGAAGTTGGTGGCGGTGATGACGATGGAGGGGCTGCCTTGGTGGCACCATTTGGGATCGGCATTGATATCGCACTTAATCTCGAAGCATGCACCGCAACTGAGCCCATTGTTGAAGAGCGCAGTGCTCAGGGCCGCCGTGTTAACGCCATAACCTTGGCTGTACAGATTGCCGTACCCACAAGCACCACCTGGGAACAGAGAAAGGACAAAAAAAAGGGGGCTAAGAGAAATGCAATTAAGAATCATCAAATGCTATGGTTTCTGAACTAATTTGAGTAGATTTTTCAACATTTCCAGCAGTGAATCGAAGAATTGCAAATGGGATTTGCTACAAAAAGGATATGAGAAACGGGTTTCTCTGGGATGAAAGCAACGAGCAAGAAAGGACACGAAACAGAGTCTCATTGTAGAGATTAGAAGAAAAAAAAGGCATACCCATAGTCCCAGAGGCGTCGTTGCCGCCGTAGAAAGTGGCATGGGCGCTCTGCCACGGCCCACCATTATAAACCCCTGGGATTCTCGCATTCACCAGCACGGAAAGCAAGAGCAAAGGAGCAAAGCAGAGCATAACCACAGAAGGCGCCATTGTTTGTATTCGGGAGAGGGAGAGAGACTGAGAGAGAGACGAGAAAAGTGGGTGTAAGGCGAATACAATGCGAGAAGGTGGAGGCGTGTACTTATAGGGAAGTCTGGGGGGTTTGTGAGGTGGAAAGGACTGAAAATAAAAAATAATATTATATGTAATTATAGAAACGAAAATGTCATTCTTACTATTTTAATAACGTGTTACAGTCTTATCCTAAATTCCGTATTCAAATCTTGGAAGCTGTGTTTAAAAAAATTATATTTTTAAATATTTTTTTACGTTAATTGCATAACAAAAAGTAAAATTTTTTTATTTTTTTTATTTTTTTTACCTGTGATTTTAATTTAAAATTTTTTATTTT